AGGAGGGGAAGACCCTCTATGAGGTGGATTGATTCAGTGACTGGGGTAATCGGGATGAGTGTGTCAGAGGCAATGCAATTGGCATAGGATAGAGCAGGGTTTAGGACTGTTGTACATAGGGTCATTATGAGTCACAAATGACTCGACAGCACATAACAACAATAACAATAATGTTAGCTTGTTATTCTCTTAGATGAATTCTGATCCAGAGAAAATAAATGCTGACTGCTCTCATAAGCTTAGTTTTGAACATTTATTTTAACGCAGTAAAATTACTGAATATATCATGAACCGCTAGGAGAGCAAACAAATTTCCTAGAGAGGTTGAAACCAGGCTGCTCCTTGGAGGCAAGAATTTTCAAGCTCTGTCTAACCTACATTGGGCATGTTGCAAAGAGGGACCAGCCCTCTGAAAAGGACATCTTGCCTGGGAGTAAAGAGGGAAAGCACAAGAGAGGAAGACCCTGGATGAGATAGATTGATTCAGTGACTGAGCTAATGTGGGTTAGAGTGTCAGAGAGTGAGGTTGGCTCAGGATAGAGCAGGGTCAGAGCTGTTGTATATAGAGTTCCTATGATTCACAAGCAACTCGACAACACATAACAATGACAACAAAATACTAATTTTAAAATTGCTTAAAAGAAAAAAATGTTTATTTATGCATTGATTAGGTTCATTACACAGTATGTAGGATGGAATTAAAGTCTATATTAGTCTTCCATTGAGCCACAGGTAAATTCTAATTTAAGAATTTTTTTATAGGTGTTTACATTTTTTCTTTTTTTGTTACTGGTTTACTTACAAAGTTGATATATATTGTGTATATATTCTATTTTTCATCTACATTGTATTTCATATAATCATTCACATGTACTATGTCTTATAATATTAATCACCATTGGACCTTGCCCATCATTACCCTGTCCTTTTACCTGGTCAATCCAACTTTTTTATTTTATTTTATTAATTTTAGTGAACATTTACAGAGATTTTGGATTTCCATTAGTTCATTGTTGCACTTTTCTCCTTGCCCAGCCCTCCCCTCCAGTTCACTCCACTCTTTGAAAAGTAAAAGAAAAATTCTTTCTTTGTTATACAATCTAAGAAATTTTTAAGAAAATGAAAAAATCAGCAAGAAAATCTTAATAAAAATTCATATTCTTAGAAACATTGAGGATAATATTAGAAATTTCTCTATTAATACAGAAAAAAGTGAGGAATCCAAAGAAGAACAATTCTTCTCAGAAATGTTAAGACCAGTAAACCCTTATTAAATCTCAGTTTTCAATTTCAGGGTGGAACATTTCATTTCTTGCTTGTAATGGTTGTCAAAACATTCATTCAGGGCGACTGTAAAGTGATTCTTCCAGTCTCCCACACACCCTGAAACAGAGGCAAAGTAACAATAAATATTAAGAATAACTTAAAAAAAAAAAGAATGACTTTGAGACGGAGATTTTACACTCTTCTATGTTTACCAGGTGATTTGTTGGCATAGTGCATTATTGATTATGCTGTTAACGAAAATAAAGCCAATGTTTGGAATCCACTAGCTGCTCTAGGGAGAAAAGTGTCATTTTTCCTCCATGAAGATTTACAGTCTTAGAAACCAAAAGGACAGTAATTTTGTGTCAGAAATTCACTGGATATCAGTGGGTTTTATTTTATTACCTTTTCATAATTAATCGAAATTTGTCTTGCAATTCTCAACTATTCTTTATTTGTATCATATATAGTATATAATATATTTTTGAACTTACAAAGAATAATTTGTCCTGATGTGCTAAAAGAATAGAGTAAACTTTTGTCTCTGACTTGTTTTTCTTCTCTGATTTCCCCTAAAAAGTTATAAATATTAACCATATTTTGCCCACTAGCATTGTCATTCTAATTCCTTTCAAATTTATCCCCATATTTCCATATCCAAATACCTTCATGGCCTTCCCACCTTGATAATGCAGACACAGTCTATGTTCAAAAGTTAAAAAAAATATACTTTCCTTCATCAAATTATGTTTATTTGTGTTGTTTTACATAATTCTTCAATTCGAACATCTTTCAGTAGTCATTTATATATTCTTCCTCTCTATTGCCTGTTCCTCATTCCCATTTCCATTGAAAGCTCTCCTCAAAATTTCCCACATGAATTATTAGAATAATATAGTAGAACTTCCTCTTTTTTATTATTGACACACTCAACACTTTCTGAGCAGAAGGTAGCCACACAATTTTTAAAATAACTCAGTGACTGATCTGACACTATGTTCAGGAAATCCTAAACTTTCCTACTGAGACAACCTAAAAAGCAGAAGATTGAAAAGTGAAGTCTGAGAGTTTCTAGGGTGTGAGAGAAAAGCAGTGACTAGCTCTATGAAGGAATGACATTTAATTTAAATTATGTGTTTTATTTTAAAAATTATATGTATATATTGATAAAAGTGTCTAAGACAATCTTGTTTTTGTTGTTCCTGAGTATCATTGGGTTAGAACAGACTCACAGCTAACCTTCCAGTGGGATTTCAGAGGCGGTTAATTCCATGGGAGGAGATTGTCCATCCTCCTCCCGAGGAGCAGCTGGTGGATTCAACCTTATGTCTTTGAGATTCGAACCTTATGCTTTACCACGAGGCCACCAGAGCAATCTTAGGAATGGATAGTTAAAAAATAGGTAAATTGAGAATCAATCCCTTTTTAGGAATCTCATTTTCATCCAGCAGTAGGCTTATTATTCTTATTATTAAAAAATAATAAAAACCTGGCTATATTATCAACAATTTTGAATAAAATTAATATTTTCCTCTACTCCTTTTGTCCCGCCTTACATAGATTGCGAATTCTAATTTATTCTAGTTATGTAGGTCTTAGGGAGCTCTGCTATCCCAGTGGTAAGAAACTGTGCAGAAATCCCAAAGGCATGCAGTTTGAATCCACCAGCTGTCCCATGGGAGAAGGATGGACAATCTTCTTTTGTGTGATTTATCGTTTGTAAAACCCCACTGAGGACTTAGCTATGGGTCAGTTCTGTAAACAACAACAATATTCTATAAGTCCTATCTGTCTTTCTATATCTTAGTAACCAATTATTTTTTATCAGACTATGCCACCCTCCAAATAGAATTTTACTTCATTGCACTTTATTAAACAGACATACATTTGAATTCCTTCTTTGCCACTTAGCTTTGAAAAGTTTCTGCCACTTGGCCAAGAGAAAGTTAGAAGATTATTCTAAATTTATTTTCTCTCTTATATGATGCAAAAATAATAAGTTCTTGTTTTTAAGTGCCATCAAGTCAGAATAAACTCATAGCTGACCCTTTAATAGGTTTCTAGGGGCTGTAAATCACACAGGAGGAGACTGTCCATCCTTTTCTTATGGGATAGCTAGTGGATTTAAACCGTATTCCTCTGGGTTGGTAGTGCACTAGGCTACGAGGACTCAATAATAACAAAAGTTCACTCTTAAGTTTCTAACTCATATATCTCTATATACATATATAATAGCCCAATACAGCAGCCCAGAACAACCAGCACGTTTGTTGTTATGTACCATAGAGTTAGTTGCAACTCACAGTGACCCTATATAAATGACACAGTGAAACATTTCACAGTCCTGCACTTATCCTCATAGTCTTTGATCGCTTTGAACACACCGACTGTTACAGTCACTGAATCAATCCATCTAGTTCATGTACATAAAAGAAGCACTGTGGTTTTGTCTTGCATGATTCAGTTCTAGGGCCTAACTGAAAGATCAGTGTTTCAAACCTTACAGTGCTTCCATTTGAGAAAGACTTGAGGTCTGTTCTCACAAAGAGTGACAGTCTTGAAATTGTTATGAGGGAATTCTTCTTTGTCCTTTAGGGTCTCTGTAAGTCAAAATCGATGTTATGACAGTCGATTAGTGCTGCTTTATGACACAATATAACTGGATATTCAATAATGAGGATGCCCAAATGTAAACTACCAGCTAAATAAAGGGGAAGCTGGATCTTCATCTATGAATAAATTTCAATGGGTTTTCACCTACAACCATTTCAACTTCTGACTCTCAGTAGCAATAGAGACAAACCACATGATTTTCTTACCCTTTCTCATAAAGGAGGATATTTCTTGGTTCATTTGGTTTTGAGGTAATAATGTGTAATTTGTACTTGGATTTTTCTTCATCTCTTGGAATGAAGTATGATTCACAATTTTATCCACAAGGTCCTCTGATGGCTTCTTCCCCAGGAAGTTTATCAATTTTATCACTTCTTTTCTGATGTCCTAGGGAGGAAAAATATTTTGATAGCTTGATGGATAAATTTAAATTGCTAATGGGAGCTCTGGTGGCCTAGCGGCAAGAAGCTGCACTGCAACCTCCAAGGAATGCAGTTTGAGACCACCGGCTACTCTGTGGAAGCAGCATGGGAGATCTCCTCCCATGTGCTTAACTGCCTCTGAAAACCTGCCGGAGTGTCAGGTATGAGTCGGTTCTGACTCTACGGTACACACAATACAAAGTTAACTCGTAAACCTAATCACATTTGGATTAGAAAGAGAGAAAATAATATATATCTCTATATCTCTATCTCTATATCTCTCTCTCTATACATATATATATATATATATATATATATTAGAAATTAGACTTTCCATGAAATAAAACAATATGGAATAGACAAAAGTTTGGGTTTTGAGTTGTTATTGTTGCTACGTGCTGTCGAGTCGCTTCCAACTCATAGCGACTCTATGTACAAGAGGCGTAAAAGCTGCTCTATTCTGTGTCAACCTTTACCGGCTCCGACACACTCACTCCCACCACTCCAATCACAGAATCGATCCATCCCATCGAGGGTCTTCCTCTCTTGCACTTTCCCTCCACCCTCCCAAGCATGATGTCCCTCTCCAAGGACCGGTTCTTCCTTGCAACATGTCCAAAATATGTCAGACGAAGCTTCAGAATCCTTGACTCCAAGGAGCATTCCGTCTTTACCCTCTCCAGGACAAACCTGTTTATTCTCCTAGCAGTCCATGGTATATTCAACACTCCTTTCCAGCACCACAGCTCAAAGACATCGATTCTCTTTCTATCATCCCTAGTTTGCGTAAGTGATAATTTTAAAAAATCATCTCTAACAAACAAAACTTCTTATAACTCAATAAGAAAACCCGAAAATTCATGGCTATCAAATGGAAATGTATTCATAGCTCACCCTCCAGCAGATTTTCAGAGGCTGTAAATGGCACCAGAGGAGATTATCTATCGTTCTCTAACAGAGCAGCTGGTGGATTCGAACCAGCTCTGGATTGGCAATGCCACTCTTTACCCACTAGACCACCAGAGCATCTTAACACTCATAAAATGAACATAAACGATTTATCATAGGGTACTGGGGGAATTAGAGGGAATAAAGTTTGTAAAGTGCTTAAAAGTAATTGTTATCTAGGAATATGTGCATAAACTATCAAAGACCATTTCTTTCCTCCTAAAGATCAAGTTTTGAGCATGGAATGTACAGATAACATTCTTTTATTCTTTTTATTTTAATTATTTGTGTTATTAATAAGAAAAAGAAAATATAACTTAATAAACCAAGTGAATTAGCACTCATGAATAGTCAGATATGAGAGTAGACAAATCATAAGATACATACTTGTCTTTGTTTGATAATGATAAACTGTTCCCTTTGTGATTCCACCTCTTTAAACTTCTGCTGTACACATCTCACTTATCCATATTCTGACTGATATGTGGTGGTGACATAACTTTCAGTTTAAACATGTATTTGTTACTTTACTTAGTAAATATGCTGATTTTCTAATTTCCAAAATAATTTTTAGAAATTATATTTAACTGTTTTTAAGAATATCTTGCTTTTAGGAATCTTATAGTCTTAAGCAAACTTTAAATTTTACTTCTATTATTCTAAATATTTTAAACATATTTATTTGTAATCCCTTTCTGATAATTATGATTTCTAGAGATTTAGGGAGCAGTTTAATCTTCCAATCCAGGGTGAATACTTGTTTAAAAGGTATGTGCATACCTACCTGTTTACATGTTTTATAAAACAAAAACATGGATAAAGTAAAAGAATGCATTTCTCTTCCTTTATGTTTGGAAAAATTTTAAGACCTGGGTCTAAAATATATTGATCCTCAAGAAGGTTTTAATTGTTGCTATTATTGTTTTTATATGCCTTGTGTAGGAATCAATTAATATCTGATGTTCCAGTGGGTTTTCAGAGGCTATTAATTCCACAGGAGAGATTGTCTATCTTTTGCTCACATAGTAGCTGGTAGATTTTAACCAGGTGTATTTTGGATAACAGCTAAATTTGTGATAAAGTACATTAATAAATATAGGGGTTACTTCCCCCTAAAATTTTTGCTGTTGATTATCATGATGCAGAGCAGATTTTGTTATTCTCATCCTTTGCTGATATCTTAGATAATACCAATCAAATATTTCCAGGTCCTCACCTTGCTCAAGTCTTCATAGAAAAGGAATAGCACACGGGGGCTTTCACTTTTTTCCCACCAAGATTTTACATGTTTGAACCAGGAACCATAAGGAACTAGAATCAAAGAGGAAAAAATTAAGAGCATAATCTCTTCTTTACATACCTTGAAAACAATAGTAGCAACAAATAACTTTGCAAGTAAATTAATTTTAAAAAGAAAAATAGAATGTATATAAATGATTGTATGAAACACAATGTAAATGGAAGATTGTTAAAACACAATGTTTATGAATGAAACATAATGTAAAGGAATAT